GAACTACCTCCGCACGAAATCCCCGATTTGGGTACTTGTTAAAAGAAAAAGAAATAGTACCTGTGCGCATGCCAGTAAAAAAAAACTAAGAGTTCGCGCATAAAAATGCCCGAACGTACCAGGCGCCAGGTCATCTAGGATTCAATTGGATTAAAAAGAGGCATATCAAAACATTCTACTTATAGGTGGCACTTGTTTGTTTATATCATCTGCAGAGACTGACAAATGACAACATTTTTAATTCTTTGTAAATACTGAATGCACTTGAACCATTTTCTGGGCTGATATTCCTTACAGAGATTCAACTTTTATAATATTGAAGTTTCAAAACAAGGGATTCAAAATCTCTGAAACAATGATCAGTGTCTTTAATATCTTTGTTGATATGCAGGTTGTCCATCCAGATCTGGAAGCATACCACCACTCTTGTAAACCTTAAAACTTGTCAAAATGATGAAAAAATTTGCACAAATTAAGGAAGTATATAAGAAATGAAATGAAAAGGGGTTTAACGTCCTACTGTTCTGCTCCTACTGGGCTAATGAAGATGGAGGAAGTATATATCCAATATTACTATACGTACCAGTCATCCAGGAGAAACTGTGAGCTGGTTGACGGAATTTAGGAAAATAAAGATGTAATTCACTATGGCCAAAATCACCAGGTAGTTCAATAAACTGAATATGTTCTGTAAAAAAAAAGATTTAATATTACTTACTTACTGGTATGATAAAATCTTATTATAATATAAATATATGTGATCCAGTTTTTGTAATGATGCAAGCGTTTGTTGAGCTTTATTACCCAACAAGTAGAATTTCCACCACATTATCTTAATTAGTTCATTAGTGGGGGGTAGACACCGTACACGGTGGCTCGGCAAGTGTGGTGCTGGCTTAATAACCAGGAGGCTCCGGATTGGATCTTGGTGTTGGTTGAGATGGTTCCTCATGTATACCAGTTTGGTTTCCCCTTGGTTCAGTGTATACCAATGGCAGGATGTTAAAGTTGGAAATCGGATAAGAGTAGGCCATAGCCATGACAGTTCAGAGAAGATGTTAAGTCCCATCTGATTTCATTTCGAAAGTAATGATAACCAAGATTTTAAAGAGATATTTATTGGAATGGGGAAAGCTACACTTTCTAGAACATCTGATCGTACTTATAATATATAACTTACCAGAACCATTTTCATATTGTTGAAATAAGGAATGAAACATTGGAGGTTCAGCTGATGTAGAAACATTACCAATAAACTGATACAATCTCCTGTAAAATTCACAACAACAAAATTAGCCTTAGTGTATCACAAATAAGCCCTAGTGTATCACAAATTAGCCCTAATGTATCACAAATTAGCCCTAGTGTATCACAAATTAGCCCTAGTGTATCACAAATTAGCCCTAGTGTATCACAAATTAGCCCTAGTGTATCACAAATTCTCATAAGAGAGAAAGAGACATAGAGAGAAAGAGAGAGAGAAAATGGGGTTTAACGTCCACTCGACACAAACTAACATTATTTCAGTAATTTTGCTTGCGCGTAGGGGTCTTTAGTAGTGGGAGGAAACCGGAGGACCTGGAGTAAACTCACAAGGTACAACCAGGGAATCAAAACCATGCCAGTTGACTCAATGACAGACCTTATGATAAATCGCGCACATGCTAACCATTCAGCCATTCTACCCCCCACAAATTCTCATAAGAGTCAGAATAAAATTACTTGTCTTGCAAAAAGGAAAGGAAATATTTGGGGATTAATATTTAGAGAATACAATATTTTGGTTGTTCAGGGGGACAACCTGATTAAAAAACATTTTCATTTTTTAGCAGCCAGATGGGATGGACAGAAGTGATGATGTAAACCCGATGCGCTAAAAAAAAAAAAATCAACAACCCCAAAATTATAAATAAGATACCATATCAGACTGATGAACCAGTGCACTGCCTGTATTATTGAAATGAGAGAGAGAGAAATGGGGTTTAAAGTCCACTCAACACAAACTAAGTCATTTCGGGACTAACACATGGTTTAATTTTATTTCAATAATTTGCTTGCACATAGGGGGTCATTAGCAGTGGGAGAAAACCGGGAGGACCCGGAGAAAACCCACGAGGTTGGACAGGCGACCCTACTCCTTGTCACGTACAACCGGGGAATCGAAACCACGCCAGTTGACTCAATGACAGAGCTTATGATACAGCGCACACATGCTAACCATTCGGCTATCCAATCCCCCTATTATTGAAATGCTGAATCAGGAGCCTATAATACTAATTGTAATGAAGATTAACCTTACCCTGGTGTAGTGGCTAGTATATAATATCTATATTCTGTCATGGTATTACCAGGTATTCTATCAAACTGTAAACTAGTAATAGATACTGATCCATCTCTTCCTAGATTATATAACTACAATAAAATATATAAAATCTATAAATAAATATGAGAATTAGAACCTGGGGTTTTAAAAAGTGCACGAACCTACATGGTGTCACAATGATATACTAATGTATACTAAAACAAGGCCATAACATTTTAAAATTTTGTGTAATACCTTTTACATTCCTATAACTGTAGCTTATGCAAAATATCTTTAGGTAATCATTAGCTTACAACCATTGTTTACATAAAATGGAAATTAAGATGGAATAAAATAACCTTGTTCTCTAGTTCGATAAATGGAGCTTGTAAAAATAATATACATATTCATATGGGTATAATCCTTTAGTGGCCCACTTTTCTGCATTGACTGGGCTAATGAAGACAGGCATACAGTGTGTTATGAGGGAAATTCTGCCCGGTTTTCGGCACTACAGCCTACTGTTCTTTGGAATTCCAAGCGTCAAGGTGTTTTTACATGCACGCCAAACACAGGAGCTGGGTTTTTCATCCCATTCGAACGACTATACATTGTCACTTGCCAGGCCCTCTGTCCTACACCACTGACCAGGGAGAAAGACACAGGACAATCCTGATGAACTTTGTTAGCAAATACCAGGATCGAACCTAGGACCTCCAGGCTAGCAAGCCCACATCTTACTCTCTGATACACTGTGGCTCCCTGATATTCATGCGGGTGAAGAAATTCATTGACTGATTGGTAGAAACACAGGTATAAATAATTGTTTCTAACTTTGTGCGATCATTGTGTAATCTAAACAAGCGTTCGTGTTCATATTTTGTAGCCTACTGGCTACAAGGTAACTTTTTATGAAAGCTGACTAGTGACTGTGTGATATCTAAGTCGTTTACTTGTGGAAATGTAATAACAACCATGCATATCAAGCCAGAAGATATTCATTGGTTAAAATTTAGGAAGGATTATAGGCAGTATTGGCCTGTTTTGACTATATCCAGTTTTTATCGCTGAAGAGGTATTTGAATGTTGACATACTGATACTCAGTGTAAAGATTCAATTTTCATATTATTACAAATCTCTCAAATTTTATGATGATCAGAGATGACAGAATCTTTATTACATTAATTAAAGTACATAAATATTGTTAATGTTAGATATTAAAATTCTGAATTATTACACCACTAATTTCAGGATCTATATTTCACTAAAAAAAAATATGTCTCCTAACAAAATATCATTCAGCAGGTCTTTAAAGATTATCAATCAAAGAATTAACTATAATTGGGGAGAGAATAGTCTTAAAAATTACCAATGACAAACAGTCACACTGATTTTGCGAAAACCATTCAGAATGAATAGCCTCCAAGATGACCAATGACAAAAGCAAAAATGATAATTTTATGTTGTAAAAAAAACCCAGGCTATCATTTTGATACAATGTGATAAATAAAATGTCAGTTTTTGTCCACAGAGCAAATTGCATACATAACCATGCTTGAAATACCTGGCAAACAATATTTTTAAAACTAGGCATAAAAGATATGTTCCTTTTGACAATAATTAGGTAATCTATTCAACACAATATATATTTTCATCTGAAAATTTGATAATGACCAGGAAAAATAAAATCATAGACACAAATTGCATATAATAAGCCAACAGTGAATTAAAGATACATTATGGGAGATTCGATAACGAGTTGTCAGTTTTCACTATAATAGTTAAAAACTAGATAATGTCAAGGCAATTTGCTGAAAATTTCATTCAAATTGATCCACAATGAATCGAGAACTAAGCGGTTGAAATTTCCGGCTAGCCTTGATCATCATTACTAAAGTCAGTACGACTAACAGCATGGTCTCGATTATTCATTAATCGTTAAATCTTGAAGAAAAGTTATGCAGTAAATCGGCTCATAATCCCCTAAAGATCGCAGGCCAGCGATGCCATCTAGAGTTGATTATGGTCTGGACAGGTTAATAAATTTCTAATTAATATTTAGATAACATTTCAGGCCTAAAGAAAGACCTTGAGCGAATTTCAGTGTTACGGTCTACTCTTATTTCAAATTCCAACTGTTGAGGGTTCTGGTACATGCATGCCAATGTGTACACGGGACCGCAGTTTTCCATCCTATCCAAATGACTAGACACTGTCCTTGCCAGGCCCTCCATCCTGCACCACCACTGACAAGGGGAAACAGTGCTGGAAAATCCTGAAGAAACTTTCTTGACCAACACCAGGAGAGAACCCAAGACCTCCTGGTTAGCGAGCCAACATCTTACTCACTGAGCCACCATGGCTCCAATAGATTTTCCAGTGAATGTTCATGTTATCGTGTAAAAGGGTTCAAGTTGTATACATAGCATAAAATGAATGAAAGTTACAAAAAAAACAAAATTAAGACAACAGTCAGCCATTAAAATCCCCATGATTCACATAAAGAAAGTTATTTAAACAGCATTTAAAAGAAAAACAATTAAAAATCTTTTTGTCTTATGTATGTGTGCTTTGCTTCTACAGTCCTAGGTGTAAATATAAATTCATCCAATTGGAACAAACAAAATAGATCATGCCATGAATGGCTGGCAATGCATACACTGCTACATGTACCGTCACATGACAACAATAAGCCAATCAGAAGATACTTACCTCGTGTGGCTTACATGCTAGCTTTAACTAATTAAAATATTTCTATTTTATCAAATCTCAAAACTTTTGACCTTATACTACAATGTATATAGCATTTTGAAACTAAATTCAATATGGCAGTTTTAAGAATTCAAGTAGGCTAACTCTTCAGGAACACCCGATACAGCTTCTTTATGGAAATGTATTTCACTGTGCTTTATAGTTTTAGCTATGGATTGCATAATACTACAGCAACAGTTGTCCTTAGTGATTTTGAATTTCTCAATTTAAAAGCTTAATGATGTATGCATTTTTGCGAAAATATCCAATTTTCCACAACTAAGTTCATGCTAAAATGAACTGCAATTGATTATTTAACATTTAAATTAAGACAAAAAAAATCAAAATATCAATGGTTGGTATTCTTCCGACTTTGATACTGTTGGATTGAAAGCAGGTCTGTCAAAAGATGGCACTGAGCCACAGTATGTGTATGGTTTGAGTCTATATCGAAATTGGACAGCACTATATATATTTTTATATAAAGGGCTATTTTTACTATTGCAGGATAGTAATTGGAACATATGTTTGTACTATAAAAGTCTGACTGGGAATAACCATTTTAGTTATTCCTGACAAAATTCTGTACTGGACATCCATACAAACACAGACAATACAAAAATATGTGATTAATGACACATGTCAAGACACTACTAAACTTAGTGTCTGACATTACATGAATTAATATCAATAAAAAGACAAATCATTGCCTGACTATGTCTGTTGTATGGGATTGCGTGACAGAATGACATACGACTAAGCACTTATATGTGCCTGGCAATGTCAGTGACAGGCGACCTATTTTACACAATTGATTAAAGGGTAAAACTCGTACATTTTGTGTCTGAAGTGTAATCTTCTACATTTTGCTTCTGAAGTGTAATCTGAAATACCTAGCAGTATAGTTTAATACATTGATAAAATCTACAAGTAACTTACCTGTTTTAAATACTGATCTAAAGATCCCTGGAAGAATTTACTGTCTTCATTGGCCGTTAATTCTGTTTCATATATAATACCTGTTAAATAAACACAGATTAATATAATATATAGTAATTTATTGATACTAAAAATATATTATTTGGTCAATTTGTCTAAACAAAGCTGAAACCAGGGGCATGTTTCACTAAGTGGTGCAAATATAAATAGTTACTATTTACCCAAAGTCATATAACTTTTGCCATAAAAGGTATTTATTTAGGCCATAGAAACAAAATATTCTGGTTTTCAACCAATCCTTCCAAAAAATCTGATACAGGAGGGAGGTTTTTATGTCATACATAAAGAAATTTTATCTACATAACTGAATATGGCTCTTTCGTGTAAAATATTTCTATCTTTTTAAGAAATAATATCATATTGTATCATTGCAAACAAATGAATTATAAGTCTACTCATGTTAAATAGGTCCATTTTTTAGCTAGACATTTTCAGCCACGATCATGACTCCATAATTTTTCTACTCACCTTTACTTGTACCTATCAATATAGCACTAGTTGTATTATTGTTAGCATTCTGCCAGTTCCAACCTACAGAATCAATATGGTGACCCTGAATAAAAGAATGGGTAAATCAACTGATTAATGAAATAATGCTTGGTAGAAAATTAAATCGACATAAGATATCTGGGACAAAAGATTAATATTTTCTATAGTTTTTGTATTTTAAATTAAACAGGGAAAAGGGGTCATTTCAAATACCAAACAAGTGGTTACCAAGTAAGATATGCCCACATTTTTCGGAACACTCAGGGGCCACAATTCAGGAAGTTACAGTCCGATATGCGCAAGTATAGAAAGGAACCCAGATCTTTGGGATATAAAGATATTATTTCAAATTTCATCAAAATCGGATACCAATTGTGAGTTCTAGAGGGTCCACAGCCTTGGTATTACATACTTTCACAATATTTGTGTACAAGAAGTGGCCATTTTGTCAACCATCATTATGGTGTAATAGTTATATATTTGAACGGTTTTTAAAATCGGATAAAAAATGAGAAGCTAAAAACGTGATTTTGTCGTACAATCAGGGGCCATAATCCATGAAGTTACGGTCCGATTGCGAATATAGATGGGAACCAAGATCTTTGAGAATCCACAAACTAAAAACATGATTTTTCGTACAATCAGGGGCCATAATTCATGAAATTACGGTCCAATATCGAAAAGAAATAAAGATGTTTGGGAGATGAACCTATATTTCAAGTTGCATCAAAATCGGATAAAAATTGTGAACTGTATGAAATATGAGTGGAATTACAGCAAGTTCAATCTCTGCACCGATTGAACCAAGTTTGCTCAATGTCTACCAAATAAGTTTACATTTCTCAAAAAAACGAAGATCGGTAAAGTATTAAAGACAAAGACATACCTTTAATTTTGTGATTGCTTTGGGTTTTTTGGAGTTGCGAGATAAATAATAACTCTCCATTGAGTTCATGCTGATGATCATGTGACGTCCCGTTGGGTCAAGGAAGATCTTGTAAACTTTATCATCTAATGCTCTTGGTAACTCCACCTCTAAAAAAGGCCAATCAAGAAATTTAAAAAAAACTTAAAACATGATCGAAACAGATATGACACTATGCACATTAATTAAAGGGATATTGACATATTTTTAATGATGTAATCTACCATGGAGACAGAAGATGATGTTCGGAGTTGTCAATGTCCCAATAGTTGCTTGTCGATATAGAGCAGTTGCATTTCGTCATTTGTATTCCTATTAAAGTCCAGTGTCACTAGCAATTTCTCAAAGTGAGTAAGATCCAGGATTTGATTAATCACATGTAATGGAAACTAACTACCAAATGGGCTAATGAAGACAGACATATGCCATATACAGTGACCAGTGCAAATGTGGGAAATTTGCCTTGACAGCAGTATTTCTGTCTACTCTTTATCAAATTCCAACAGCTTTTATGTACGTGCCAGTTTTTTATCCCATCCAAATAACTAGACAGTGTTCCTTGTGCCTCTGAAAAGGGGAATCCTGACTGGAAAATCTTGAGGAATTTTCTGAGCCAACATTATTTAAATAAAGAGGTACCTACCATCTGGCTGATCTGGATGTTCTAGATCTAATCGTAATAGAATATTACTACTCATGGCCATCACCAGAAAGTTGTTACTAACAACAAGATGTGTTAACTGATCGGGTGGTCTAAAACACAAAAAACACATGGAATGGTATCAAGTTTTAATGTCTACTGACACTTTAATTTCAACTATTGGGGGGGGGGGGGAAGGAGGCGAATGGTTTAACACATGCACTTTAGATCGATCATAAGATCTGTCATTAAGTCATGGGGCCTGGTAAGTATTGAGAAATACTTTGCAGGGCTGCACAAATTATGTCTACTCTATGAGTGGGATACCAAACATTTTAAGCATTTAATACCTACAGTATTAACTGCTGTATGTTATCTGCATGTTAATGTTTTAAATTGTTATGCTTGTGTGACAGAGTTCTAAGTGGTGTAATAATTGTTTTAACTTGCCGATTGGGATTCATTGGCACAGGTTTTATACATTTTTATGGCTAAAGTGTAAACTATGCTGCTCTTGTGGATTATAAAGCTTTGTGACAAGCACCTGTCTCTATTCTTTCCAATATAAGAGAAAATACCTCTTTCTGTTTGTACATATAACTTACTTGAAATTAACTTTTTTCTTGGTAAATATTGGTTGCTCTTCAGTTAATCTTGCATCAATAAAACCAGCACCAATCTAAAATAAAAAAAATGATAAATGAAATAAAAAATCATTTTTTTTCTCCCCACCCCACCTTGGTTAATTATATTTCTACTTCCAAATCAATGTTGTAGGTGTCAACAAGTGTGTATTCAACTCCAATACTGTTTGTCTCTAATTCTGGTTTTCTTGGTACAGGTTTGTCTCAAAGTTTAGAATATTTCTCAAAAGAGCGATCATACATAATCCCTCTATACGTTTACAATTCCGGTAAATCTTTCTGATATAACGAAACGTATACATTTCTATGTTTAGTTTATGTAAATCTTTATGATATATCGAAACATAATACATTCCTATGTTTAATTTATGTAAATCTTTATGATATATCGAAACATAATGCATTCCTATGTTTAATTCAGGTAAATCTTTATATAATAAACATAATACATTCCTATGATTATTTTATTTCAATAATGGTCAATAATCCCTTGAATAATATTTGAGAAGAAGGTTGCTTGCTTGTTTTCAATTATGGACAGCAGTGACAATAATTCCTAAGTTGGTGTCTACAAAAGCAATGTTTTGAGAGTTTAACTAAAAAAAAAGAAAAACTCACTGGTTCTTGATAAGACATCTGTGCTGAAAATGTTGTTCCTGTAGTCCGAGCTGAATCAGCTTCATACTGATCTAATATTGACGTCATTCTGACAGCTTAGAAGTTCAATTTCTGAAAATGATATGCAGGAAATGCTAAAAATACAGAAAAATGTATGACTATCAAGTTGGGCTAAATGTAACAAGAATTACAGCACCATCTCAAAGATGGATTGGGGACTGCTGATAAAACAATTCTTGGCTGTTAAAAGGAGTCCCATGTATTGAAACAGAGAAAGAGAGAAGGGTCGTTACTGGTTAGCAGTGGAAGGAAACCGGAGGGCCCAGAGAAACCCACAAGGTTGGACAGTCGACCCTACTCCTTGTCACGTACAACTGGGGAATCAAACCACATCAGTTGACTCAATGGCAGACATTATTTATCGAAAAAGAGAAAGAGAGAGGGGTCGTTAGCAGTGGGAGGAAACCGGAGGGCCCAGAGAAACCCACGTGGTTGGATCCCAGTCGAACCTTCTCCTTGTGAGCCTTGTCACGTACAACTGGGGAATCGAAACCACAACAGTTGACTCAATGGCAGACATTATTCAACAACCCCGACGTAATTGTATTGAGAAAACAAATCCAAACTGTCAAATGATATAATCATAAATTTAGTGACAGTGACAGTGACAGTGACACGGGCACGTATGCGACAGAATTCTCATTACTCTATCGTACACTGTAGGCTACGTCCTTCGATTAGCTGGAGAAAAACTCGTCGTCTGCTTTACTTGCATCTTGACGGTCTTTCAACAATGTTAGTGCTCCTCTTACCTTCTTTTCAACTCATTTAGGAAACATACACAAATGTTCACGAATATGATTACCCGAAAAAAAGCACAATCTTACCAATAAATACGCTAATAAATCAATTTAAATAAATCGAGAGGCGTAAATTTCTTCCTCTGAACGCCATTGATCTCTCAGAGTAATGTCCCTTCGTGGTAGTCGCTGTTTTCTTACAAAAAGCTTTTAAAACCATTCTCTGTCTCTCTGTCAAAGGGAGATAAATCCATTTAAAAGTTAAATTAACCCTTTAATCGTCCAAACTCAAAGCCTGTGATATTTTTTTTTTGGGGGGGGGGGGGGACAACTCAAAGTTGATTCATTTATTAAAATAATTAAGCTTCTGAGGTCTGTGATTGAGTAAAATTAAATGGTTTTTGGTCACAAGTTTTTTCCCACCGCTAAAGACCCCTCCGTGTAATTCGATTATCGAAATAAAATTGTAGGCCTAACTAATTTAGTCCCAAAATTACCTATATTTTTTTTTTTTCGAGATGACTTTCAACTCCATTTCTCTCTCTGATTATCATTTGGGAATTTGCAAACTACGATTTTGTGAAAGTTAAATCTATAAGGACAATCTGATTAAAATACAGATCTATATTTTGTTTCTTTTTTTATACTTTCGATGGCCTACACTACATGAAGATCTGACCAGTTGTACTGAAAGGTCGTGTCAGGTGTTGTACGGGCGGCTTTTGACCCTATGACGTCAGACATTTGATTAATCAATCAGCATTGATGTTAGTGGTGGGTTACCCACAGTTCCATGCAAAACACGCCTAAAGCTCGCCGTAACAGACCGTTTCATCAGAGAACGCGTCAATGATAACGATTCTTCCAGATCCTAGTGTAGTAAAGACAAGTAAAACGAAATTTTGAACTATAAAAACGAAACGAAATAGGATCTGTGTTTTAATCAGATTGCTGTAAGGGATATAAATCCAAAATGGTTTCATTGTTATTCGATCAATCTACTTCATTTGCATTATCAAGACTAAACTAGATAATTTACTAAATTAAATTTAGACTATGTAGCCTTTATAACCAGCTGAAGGTTGAGCTAAGTGTATCCACTGTAGACAATAAAAATGCTATTGTCTAAACAAGCCAGTGCCACCTATAATCTTCACTTTTGATGGGCCTCTTTTTAATCTGATACAATAAACGCCAGGAGATATAATGATTTTCTTAAAAAGGCCTAAAATGATGAATAATAAATGCAATACTGGTTGGTGCCAATGTAATGATCAAAAATTGTAATTCGATGAAGAATAAGCAGAAACCCTGCTGTTCGGACAAAATTTCCCTCATAGCACACTGCAGGGTGCATATAGCCTATCTGTCTGCATTAGTGTGGTGTGCAGAAAAGTAGGACGTTAAACCTTGTTTCATTTCATCTTGTTCAAAGTTAATATTTTAATGTGTATGCATAATTTGATATTTATAAATCTTTGTGAAAAATTCTGCTAAACAAAAGTTTAAATAACAATACTAACTAATATCTAGATATATGCCTATCTCATGCATCAGGCAAGATATATGCTTACTTTTTTGGAACACTCCTTACCACTGCCTAACCTGATTTTCAACCTTCACTATTTAACCTACTTGGCCTATGTTTTGTTGAACAGTTGAGATACAGTACTAGTGTAGCTATTTTATAGCCTATTTCTAGGCCTACTCTGTGTGGAAGAGTGGAAGGGTAGTTAACTCGGTATTTGGGTCATTTTGTATCCTTGATGTTTCTACCCATTGTGTTTTACATCAAATTCCAACTGCCTTATCAACAGTTGCAAATACATCTAATATCTGATTTTTCAATGGTGATTTTCAAAGTGGTTTCAATGATTACTACTTGGCCGGTACAGGTATTCTCCAACAATATGATTTTAATAGCTTGTCTACTCATACATTGTAGTTCAGAATATCTTTTCTTCAATTTTGTTCTTTAAATGAATGACATCGTACAATGCAGGCGCGGGGGAGGGGGAGGGTGTGTGTGTGTCCAGGGGGTCTGAACCCCTGCCCTCCCTGCTCACGCATAGAATATACTTTCTCTCCTACATTCATGGAATAAACACGGTTTTGCTCATTCCACTTTAATCCTATACATGTATGCACCTAAATGAGCAGAAATATTGTCTCAAAGCTTCTGATTTTATCAATCTCGCAGGTAGTTCCCCCCCCCCTCCCCCGACATAACGCCAAACTTGACGTTGTCTCCTCTTTGGACCCCCTGCTGCTCAAATTCCTGGTCACGTCCCTGCTATGTATGGACAAATAGCTAGTCTACTTGTACAAATTTCTCAGCCTTCCATTCAGGACACATCTCCACAACTGGCACATTCGACAAGACATTTATAATCCTCGTTTGGTACGCCAATCTTGTAACACACCTGTGCATTACAGACTTCAAAATCAAGCAAGTTACAATGCAATTACAGAATAAAAAAAATAAACAATTCATTTGTATATATTTTTAATTTTCATAAAAAATGAAAATAGTTTAAATCCAAGTTATATATAAACTTATATAACCAAACAATATTAAAGAATTCTTAACCTTTGCACTTTGTATTGTATAATATACATATATACACTGTAGATATTTCATCTTTATACAATATAGTTAATAATATTCGCAACACTAAAGATATATAATTTTGATGTAATAAAATCAATATATATGTAGTTAATAATATTTGCAACCAGGAAACTTAATATTTTGGCCTTTCTCTTGGCAATTTCAGTTAATGGAGTAGCGAGTGGATTTCGCAAAAAGGCAACATAAAAATAAATTTCTAGTGTCACATAAAAATTGACAGTCCATGTAGAAAAAGAGCCTTCTTCAAATGTAATAATGACATTAAAACCAGATTTTTGAGTCTTTGTCCTTGCCTTAGTACAGGTTTATGCAATGGGATTTTTGAGTTTCACAACAAAGATAAGTATGGTTTTAACAGTGCTTTTCTCAATGGCAAACAAGTTGTGTCTCAAATGAATTATCTGGTTCCGGAGGCCAATTAATGACTAGATTGGGTAAATAGACTAAATAATTAGTGTGCAATGCAATAAAAGTAATTCCCAACAGGAAAAATGCAGAAAAATCTATACTGACCCTGGAGCTTTGACCAAGTAAACAAAACTGCCAGGGGGGGGGGGGGGGAAATGGCCCAAACAAATTTATCAATCTTGTCAGAGGACAGATTTTTTTTTTTATCCACTGTAGAAACACTATTGATGAAACCAGCTACACAGGATTATTTAATGATGCAACAAAATATGATTAATTAAAATACAACTATAATGATTGACAGGGGTCAGATGTTTGAAACATTTTGCCAGTCAAGTCCTGTATGGCATGTAAATTGATGACAGATAAGTTCTCATGCTGGCCAATTTAATTGACATGAAAGTTCGGCTGCCAGTCAATTTCACTGCCAGAGTCAAAACAGGCAAATATTACTAAAAAGAAAGCATCTTTTTCTTACATTTACACTGGTATGACAAGTTTACGCTATTGGGACCATTTAGTGAAGAGACATAATAATTGTACCCTGAAAACTGCTATTGAAAATTGGACTATGTTTAACACAACTAACAGTGTGAGTCTAGAATGTATATTACACATGTACAATATATGTTGTATGTCTTTATGTTAAGCACTTAAAATATGATGAGTATTTATGAATTACAACTATGAACATTTCACAAAAGAAAAAAAAAATGACTTCACCCAATATACAAATGCACTGTATATATGCAAGGGCTTCACTATAATGCCATTGGGAACCTACATGTACACTACATAATTATATCAACCTTTTTTTTCTTAAGCAAACTAGACAATCGTTAGCTAATATGTTCAGGTGTATAATGTATGAAAGTCATATGATCAGTAACAAGTGTTTATAATTTGCAACTTCATTATTATATGTATAAATGACAGAGAAATTTGCTTGGCAACCAGCACCTGATTTAGTGGTATAAATTTCTAGAAGTAACGTGATCAAAGGACAATAATAGGGTTTTTCATCTCAAATTGCAGAAAACATTGGATTATACATGTACAGTCTATAAAGTCTTCACAAGTGGTGACAGATGACCACATTTCAATGTGGCAATGTAAAAAGGAAAACTGGAAAAACCCAATCTAATTAAAATTACATATAGATAGAATTTTTGTTTAATTTCCCCGGGGACATCTGTACTACATAAGCCTATTGGTCGTAATCCTTATATTTAAACTGGTTAACACAGAAATATTTAAAATTTGTTTAATTAAAAGATGGACCAAGATATAATCAGGTTTTTGATTTTTATATTCATTGAAGTCGTATTTTATTCTAATTTGACTGGTCAATTAGTTCATGTTATCTTAACATTAACATGTCGGATATAAATGTAGTACAACATCTGAAATAAAATGAAACAGAATTGACATCTGATCTTAATCAGATTGGGAAAATCTTTCAAAATTGTACATGAAAGCAGATAATTCACTTATATTTTATCTAACAATTGAAGCATCTGCTTCAGATCTTGATGCTGGAGTTTCTGGTGTTGCTCTGTTGTCATCGTATACAAAAATTGTGTTGGTATGACTTGTCACATGAAACATGTCTTTTAGGTTTGAATATTTCCCAGGAAAATACCCTGCTGGAAGCTCACTATCAAAATCACAGTCATTTTCGTTAGTGGGTGATTTTTCAAAATGTTTTGATGGATGATTGTCACTCAGTTCATTAAATCTCATGGAGTTTGTATCTTTAACAAAATTTTCCCCTTCACATATCTGTAATTCAGAGACATGGTCTTGTGCAGAATCAATGTTGGTATTGTTTAATGAATTTATTTTAGAGGTTTTTTTTGACATCTCCTGAGTGTCCATTTCATCATGTCCACTATGCACTGTTTGAGACACAGAACATACAGAAGACATGGACAGATCAAAAATATTATCTGAAGATTCTCGTGAAGATGAGATAACAGATTCACTATTTTTGGATAAGTCAGTGTCAATATTTTCTGGTTTTTGGGTTAAATGTTCATCAGTAACACAATTTTCACTTGGTAATATTTCAAAAGACCGGTCGCATGTATTGGAAACACAATCATTAGCAGTTAACCCTGTAGAAACTGAAGAAATTGACTCGGTAGTATTATTGATAGAGTTCTCACATGATTCTATTTCACATGGTTCAATTGTAATAGCACTCACAGTTTTTACTGTACTAGATTCGATACTTTGCGAAGTAGATGTCAGAGAATTGTCATTTTCAACTTCCATTGGCTCAAACTGTGATTTCTCAATACAGATCATGTCTTCCGCTAAATTATTCGTATTATTTTCACCGCTTGGGAGATAATCACTGGACATTAATGATGCATCACTTTCTGGTTCAGCATTGTTGATGCCATCTTTATACGTGCTAATAGTTGTGTCTACAAAGGTCGATAGTCTATGCATTATAGATCGTGTGTTGTCAGAGAAATTAGTTTTGGAAGGAGGCACAAGATAACCATTTCTCAAAATTGAGGTATTGCTGGAAGGAATTCCTGATATAATTTGGGCTTTATCCAAATTGGAAAACTTTCTGACACTTGAGTCTTTATTACTTAAGTCAATTGATGTGTTTTGTGATAAAGAGTTTGTACTGGATTGATTTGATGTAGTAAAAAGATTATTAACAGCATCATTGTTAGATATTATTCTTAATGTATCGTTGTATGATTCCCTGAAGAGTGAAGACTCCCTTGAAGATGCAGATGAAGTAATTTGGCTGTGCTCTTTCCCACTAGACAAAGATTCCCTTGAACATGATATGGTTGTTAACACGCCATGGTTGTTTCCTAAGGATATAGACTCCCTTGAAGATGCTGTCAAAGTTATTGATTCTTCTGCTGATGAAAGATCTAAAGGTTCATCAATATCCATTTGTTTGGTCCCAGTTTCTTCACAATCCTCGGATGGTTGTGATTTTCGAATATATTCACGAAGCTCTTTTGGATCGTTTGACTGTTTCAGAAGTTCGTCATCCAAAACACATTGCACTAACTTTACACGTTCACATTGAACTTCAAGCATCAGGATACCTTCATCCCCTAAATCCTGTTTCAGACAAACATTACCTGTTACTAGCACAGGTTTAGAAAGTACTTTGGTAGGGAGGTTGGAGGAATCTTTAGGGACCTTATTAGTAGAGAACTCAGATTCGTTAGATTTTGATCTTGATTGTTTGCACATATTATTATTACACATTTTTAATGAATCTTTTATCGGACTGTCTGGACTAGGAATTTCAATTTCTAAATTGTTGACTCCATCGGAGCGAATTAAAGCTTGCATTTTCAAATCATCTATTGTGATAAAATTACATCCACAATACCCAGACACTTTATGAATTTCGTTACGTAAATCATCATCAATGTCAGATTTTGACATCTCCTTTTTATTTATATTAATATTATTGTTATTACTATTTAGCAACTTTTTTAGTGTTTCATTGTTACAGCGTGGAGCTTTATCATTTGTTTTGACTGCATCCTTTCTTTGATTTTTGTCCAATTCCTTGTTATTATTAGACTCAGACTTACTGTGTAATCGGAAAATGCTGTACTTTTTGTATTCTTCCATTTCTGCTTTCTCAATTTCAGATGGTTCCAGAGTTTTAGGATGTTTTGAAGATTGAGACTTGGAATAATCTTCAGCCTGTGGAATTTGTTCTTGTGAAGCCTGATAAATAGAATGCTCTTGCGGATGTCGGAAGGGTGATAAGACTGATGGTGGATAAAGTCCACCTGGATACATTCCGGGGGGAGGCACAGGATATCGTTCTGGAGGAAACAATGGGTTATGGGGAGGGGGAAATGGGTGGTGTCCGAGTCCTTCCATCCTACTTGGTAGATGTGGAAAGGGATATCCAGTTAATAGGGGGTGTTGGTGTGGATAACCTGCTGAGAAATCATATCCTCCCATTGCATATGGCGGTGGGTATGTACCTAGTGGAAAATTCATTCTGGACATGGGATTGGGTGGGTAATTGTATGGAGGTATTCCTGAAGACCACATACCTGATGGTGCACTGTGACGTGGAATTTCTGGTCCTCCACTAGGATTTAGAGTTCTTGACAGATTTAAAGGATAAGAGCTACCAAATCTATCTGGCCATAATCCAGTTTTATTCGCAGAGCCATGAGTTGGTGTGAAGCCTCCCAGACGCCCTACCGTTACGTTAGGTGGACTGATAAACGGGTTGATTTTTGGTGAATTATAAGTGGAGTTGATTGACTGAATTGGATTTGTAAAAACTGTACTATGTGGTGTAATACACGGAAATGGTTTGTGAATCACTTTTGGAAAAGTATGTGGCGAAGATGCAACACTGTAAGGTGAAGACACAATACTGTAAGGTGAAGATACAACACTCGATGGCCTACTAGAATCGGTAGATTCAGAAGTTTTATAAGAATCTCCTGTAACCCTTTTATTATGATCATTTCTTGATTCAAACAATTCCGGTGTTCGAGTTCTTAAAGGTTCAGTTGATTTGGAAGATTCACAAGGTATTGGAGTTTTAGGTTTTGTATACTGGACGAATTCATGTCCATGCTCTTCAACAGTTTTTAATGCATTCACCATTTGTGGATTTACGATTTCAACATTACTTTCCGATTGGTCCATGGGATGGGGTGGAGTATGTACAATCCTAGCAAATGGTGTAGGATTAGATATAGGTGTATTCCCAGGTGAACTGTTAGATGACCTAAGAGAATTATCAGCGGGAACAGGGGATATGAGAGGTTCATCTGTATCATCTGGAGTATCTTCAGAAGCTGACACTGGTTCAATTACAATTGACTCAGTACTACTATATTCTGGAAAAGTGATAGTGTCGTGAACACGCCTTCTTGCTTCAGCGATGTATTCTTCATCTTCTGGAGAGGATGTTAAGTCTAAGGGATATCCCCCATCTCCTGGAGAAGGAGATACCTGTATGAGGCCAACAGGGTAAACTCCATCAGCAGGGGGTGACATGAGTTCATATGAATATCTGCTATCCTCATCAGGTGACAACAATTCATGAGGGTACGTTTTAGATACGCGAGTAGCCAACAGCAGTTCTCTTTTATATGCCCGTCTATCTACTTTTTTCGGCGATGGCTTACGCACAGTTTTTCGTAAATAGATACACTTTCGATAAATGCATGATTGTTTTAATACACTTCTACGAACGCAGTATGGACATTCACCACAGTTAGTCTTAATCTGACACGGACCACACTCTCCACATCGTTTACGACGTTTCAAGCGTAAAGGTTTTTCACTCGATGATGAAGGTGATTGTTGTTCTGGGAACCATGGTACTGGATCGTCGGGATGTACAAATATTTCATCATGGTCGCTTTCCTCATCCACTTCCATTATTTATCATTGATCACCCTTTAATTCTAATTTTCAATTCATCAGAACCTGAAAAGAGAAAATATATTTCATGGTTATCCAGTTGTCAATTTTCAATGTAATTAAAGCCAATGTTTTTTTTTACGATTTTGTATTCCTCAATTAAACTCTATTTTATTGAGATCATCAACATGCTGTCAGTGGTATACTTGTGTCAATGGTTTTCATCATATGTTCCTTTCCCACATCGTATGTCCTGCATCACTAACGAGTTGAAACCAGGCTGGAAAATCCTTAGGAAAGGTATAAAGGGACATAATAGATTTTATCTTTGATAAAATGTAGATGACCAATCCCCTTTTCAAATTCACACTTATAAAAACATATCAATGCTTCTATCAATGAATCCACGTCCATAACCACAATGATGAATTACACAACTGGATGGCATAGACTAGGTTACCAAGACGATCTATAGTACGACCGACAGTAAAGGAATTTTTCAAACGGATGTCCTGATGATCAAAATTACTGATAGACAATCCAAAGTGAAAGGACAAGGTAAACAATTATAATCAATGTTTGTATTTGATCTGATTGATTTGATTGGTACTATTTGCATACATGTACCATAATAGATATTTAAAAAAAAAAAAAAACAGATTCTAACTAATCGATACAAGCAATGCCATTTTCCTCTTACTTGAATCATGATTCATAAAGGCGCAGGAATTTGCTCAACAACTAAAAAATATCGTCATTCGATAACTACAGGAGTTAAACATGCATTATGCAAGAGCTAAATCTGTCTATTTGCAGGTCTTTCTTTAGGTCTGAAATGTTTTCTAAAGTATTAATTAGACATTAATTAACTGATCCAGGCCTTAATCAACTCTCGATGGCATCAGATTTCTCCGATATTAAATAGATTAGAATGGTTCAGCGATACTTTGATTTAATCAAATATGGAGGACCGAGACCAGTACGGTGGTTGAAATTATTGCACACGTCTGCCAAACCTTCAAAGGCTAATATCTTCGCTTGCAATAGAGTAATTTGAATGAAATTTTCAAATTATTCATTTTACATCATCTACTTTCGAAATATTATAGCAAGAATGGCTAGTTCTTTATCTAAATCTTACATAATGTATCTTTAACAAAATTGAAATGTACTGCAAAGGCTTACTTTTACATTTTCAAGAAAAACAAACTGGTCAACAGTTATATGTAAACTTATGTAGACAGAGAAATGAAATGGGTTTTAACATCCACTATAAACAAACTAGGTCATTTCGAGACTAACACGTAGGTGTCTTTAGCGCTAGAAACAGGAGAAAACCCACGAGGTTGAACAGGCAACTCTACTCCGTCAAGACATAGGGACGGACAGTTAACGCTGAATAATGTAACTCTTTAAAACTTATTTTTCAAAGTTCAGGCCTCTCTTTGCTCAGCATTTTCTAAAATCATATTCCTCTTCCTCTACGATAAAAATAAGGATACCAACACAGTTTATTAAAGCAAGGCAATCATCGGATATATGGATATATCGTCTGAGAATAGCATGCTATGAGAATATTAAGTTACACACTAACGGAGCTGGTTGCCGTGGCAACAGACAGCAGTATTAAATCAGTTAAAGGAACTGTGTCATATTTTTTTTTATGAGAGAAACTTGGCTCCTAAATTTGTGCAACACAGCGCATTCTATAAGCAAATCTGATTGCATGCCCGAATACTGTAAAGCAGAATTTAGGTTGGGCATGGATTAAAAGTGTTAAATTTGATCGCCTTAATACCTTTTTAGTTATTTTTACATCTAATCGGAATTTGAAGTACATGTACGTTACTTCTTATCACCTTCAAAATGATTAAGTAAAGAAGGAAATTTCGGTCAGTTTACCGTAAATTGTATTAAAAGATTCAGAATAGAACCTTTTTGAAAACGAATAATAATGTAAAATTTGATTAATTCAAAGCCCTAACCTGACCGAAAGAGTAGGTTCTGATATGCCACACCATAAAGTTTGTGCTAATACTGATTGGTGCTTTGACACAGATGTTAAAAATAAGCATTAAGCCTCAAGAGCACCATTTGTTCAATCTAAGGGCTCTTCCGTGTTCACTACTAATTTGTACATTGGTCTGCAAGTGTTTTGTTCCAGATGATCTACTTGAGAAACTTTACATGTACAGCTGTGTTTATGACAAGGACAGCAAATGAGCCAATAACAAAATAATAGCATATGGAAAAATCTTAATTGTGCGCTGTTCATCATCGTTTCCTATCGAATTCCATTCCTGCGAGTGATTGGTTGAGGTCCAGCATCGTGATCAAGACAACATCTATCGCATTTTATATTCTAATATTTATCTCTTTGACACATGAATCTCCGGTTATATGTGACAAGGAGTAGGGTCGTCTGTCCAACCTCGTGGCTTTTCTCCGGGTCCTCAGGTTTCCTCCCACTGCTAACAACCCCTACGTGAAAGCGAATTATTGAAATAAAGTTGAACCATATGTTAGTCCCGAAATGACCTAGATTGTGTCGAGTGGATGTTAAACCTCATTTCTCTCTCTCTCTTTGATACGTTTAAATGTAGTCCCAATTAACCTGGTAATATTTATTTTCAAACATGTTTTTCTAATAAACGTTGCAATATCAAATAGTTTCAAACAAAATTTATCTAGTAAAGAGGTAAAACTATTAGGGTTAAACGGTTGTTTACAAATTTTAGATTTGTGGTTAAAACTATAAAAGGGTAATTAATGAAAAAATATACACGAAACAAATTAATACAAAAAACTCAACCAGATTGAAACGTTTTTTTTTTACCTAAATTGAACAAAACATGTCATCTTAGATTAGGTCTGTCGCAATTTATATATTACAATCCATGTATAGTAAAAGTTTCCATGGTTAATATAAATGTTGTCATTGAGTCAAGGGCGTGGTTTGATTCCTAGCTTGTTTGTGACAAGGAGTAGGGTCACCAGTCCAACCAGGTCTTCCGGTTTCCTACCACAGCTAAAGACCAGTACATGCAAGTGAATTATTGAAATAAAATTGATCATATGTTAGTCCCAAAATGACCTTTCTCTCCATATATTGTCTGTTAGTGACGTCTATTTTGTATGTAAACTATTATTGTGTCATTTTCACCTATTGGCATTTATCCAGCACAATGACCTTACATAAGGCAGTCTATGGAGACTTACGAAACCTGTTCATCCAGTAAATGTGACAACCTTGAGAGCTGAATGACACTGAACAGATTTTCCATATAATGAGATACACGTGAGTAGCACGCACACTTCAATAAAAATACTGCATATCAAATGTGTCACGTGACCTTGCATGACAGTGATATAAGATCAAATACTTCCTTATAAAATATGCTGCCTTATCCTTTTTTAACTCAAGCAGAAATAATATAAAACAGATCAAAGATATTTGCAAACATTTATTTAGAATTAACCTATTGAAGATTGCGATGAAATTCTATTTTTTGAACACATCAGTCAGGCAGTATAACAACAGCTTCAATAGCTTAAAATTTCTATCAAATTTTCATCAGACACAAAATATTCATTTGGTTGAGTTAACCAGGGGTTCATGAAAAAATAGCCAATTCTCAAAATAACGTTTAATATAATCTTCCAATGAGTTTCACGTGAACATGTTCTTCTTCGACTGGGCTAATGAAGAAGGGCATGCACAATTCAGTGTGCTATGAACGAAATTTTTCTTGAACAACCCCGTTTAGATGAATTCTTATACTGAATTCCAACTTCCAAGGTTTTTTTTACATGCCCGTCAATGTGTAGACAGAACCTCAGTTTTTCGTTCTATTCAAACGACGTTGTCTTTTATAGGCCCTCTGCCCTGTACCACTGACAAGGGGAAACCCCGCCAAAATCCTGATGAACTTTCTCGGCCAAAAATTAAATCTAAAATAGACTGAACCAAACACTGCATGCAAGATTTCAGTGACAAGAAAGGTAACTTTGTGAAAAAAAATCATTATGCAAACGTTATTTGACCAGTTAGACATTTAAATGAACTGGCGGACAGATGGACAAAATGAAGGGGAAGGTAACATATTTTCGCGTATATGAAATGCGCCCGCATAAAAATTACCTTAACATGGGTAGAGACTTAGAAAATCGTCAAAGCGAAAATAGTATTTACCTAAATGTTATATGAACGTATCATTATTGTTTGACATCAAATACGTACCAATCCACTTTGAAAACTCACGCTATTCTACAATGGCTCTTAAATTCCTAGTCGCGCTACAAATTTTCAATTAATGTAATTCTGCGAGCCTGTCACGACATGAGTAATACCAGCAATCAATCGTGGGATAGAGAGAGACCAACCGACGAGGTTAAAATCAATACTAATCAACACGAGTTCTTGAAATCACAACTTGTTGCCGTGTGGTTGTCAGGAACGACATAGAACAATATAACGACCTTGATTTCTTCATACGTCAAATCACAGAGAGTATAACGGCATAAGCGTTTGTACAAAATATACATGCACTTATTATATAATTAAATGTATGAAACCATCTACAACTGTTTCCAACATTTGCCAAAAACAAGATAATTCATAGCGAAAACGAAAGCCTCAATGTTTCCGGAATCATCATCAAACATTTTTTTGGTAATAGCTTAATTCGGTTAAGAGTATTTTAATTCTTTAATCATTGAATCTGTGTGATAATGGGACTAAAATTGATTGAGATTATGTGAATTTTACTTGAACTGAAAGTGGGCCTATTGATTCTCTATATATATTTCAAGCCACATCTTGGAAATATATTCATGTCTGGAAATTACACATATGTGTTTACTGTTCCAAAACCTACCTACCTAAAAAAAAGTTTAAAGATAGGTTACCAGGCAACAAAACATACGCCCACAGCAGCTAAATCGCCCAAGCAATCGACAGGGGTTGTCACATATTTATGGTTTTGGAGGTAATGCATATAGGAGTATTTACAAGACACTGATATTGGGGCGGGGTTTGCTTACCGGGATTGTACAGAACTTGACAA